GCACCACGCATGCGCCGCGCCACGCGCCGCGCCACACGTCACGCTGCTCTGTACGTATACATACATACTCATTTATACACCTGGAGCTACAGCTGGGCGGCGCGCTGCACGAGGCGCCGCACCACGCATGCGCCGCGCCACGCGCCGCGCCACACGTCACGCTGCTCTGTACGTATACATACATACTCATTTATACACCTGGAGCTACAGCTGGGCGGCGCGCTGCACGAGGCGCCGCACCACGCATGCGCCGCGCCACGCGCCGCGCCACACGTCACGCTGCTCTGTACGTATACATACATACTCATTTATACACCTGGAGCTACAGCTGGGCGGCGCGCTGCACGAGGCGCCGCACCACGCATGCGCCGCGCCACGCGCCGCGCCACACGTCACGCTGCTCTGTACGTATACATACATACTCATTTATACACCTGGAGCTACAGCTGGGCGGCGCGCTGCACGAGGCGCCGCACCACGCATGCGCCGCGCCACGCGCCGCGCCACACGTCACGCTGCTCTGTACGTATACATACATACTCATTTATACACCTGGAGCTACAGCTGGGCGGCGCGCTGCACGAGGCGCCGCACCACGCATGCGCCGCGCCACGCGCCGCGCCACACGTCACGCTGCTCTGTACGTATACATACATACTCATTTATACACCTGGAGCTACAGCTGGGCGGCGCGCTGCACGAGGCGCCGCACCACGCATGCGCCGCGCCACGCGCCGCGCCACACGTCACGCTGCTCTGTACGTATACATACATACTCATTTATACACCTGGAGCTACAGCTGGGCGGCGCGCTGCACGAGGCGCCGCACCACGCATGCGCCGCGCCACGCGCCGCGCCACACGTCACGCTGCTCTGTACGTATACATACATACTCATTTATACACCTGGAGCTACAGCTGGGCGGCGCGCTGCACGAGGCGCCGCACCACGCATGCGCCGCGCCACGCGCCGCGCCACACGTCACGCTGCTCTGTACGTATACATACATACTCATTTATACACCTGGAGCTACAGCTGGGCGGCGCGCTGCACGAGGCGCCGCACCACGCATGCGCCGCGCCACGCGCCGCGCCACACGTCACGCTGCTCTGTACGTATACATACATACTCATTTATACACCTGGAGCTACAGCTGGGCGGCGCGCTGCACGAGGCGCCGCACCACGCATGCGCCGCGCCACGCGCCGCGCCACACGTCACGCTGCTCTGTACGTATACATACATACTCATTTATACACCTGGAGCTACAGCTGGGCGGCGCGCTGCACGAGGCGCCGCACCACGCATGCGCCGCGCCACGCGCCGCGCCACACGTCACGCTGCTCTGTACGTATACATACATACTCATTTATACACCTGGAGCTACAGCTGGGCGGCGCGCTGCACGAGGCGCCGCACCACGCATGCGCCGCGCCACGCGCCGCGCCACACGTCACGCTGCTCTGTACGTATACATACATACTCATTTATACACCTGGAGCTACAGCTGGGCGGCGCGCTGCACGAGGCGCCGCACCACGCATGCGCCGCGCCACGCGCCGCGCCACACGTCACGCTGCTCTGTACGTATACATACATACTCATTTATACACCTGGAGCTACAGCTGGGCGGCGCGCTGCACGAGGCGCCGCACCACGCATGCGCCGCGCCACGCGCCGCGCCACACGTCACGCTGCTCTGTACGTATACATACATACTCATTTATACACCTGGAGCTACAGCTGGGCGGCGCGCTGCACGAGGCGCCGCACCACGCATGCGCCGCGCCACGCGCCGCGCCACACGTCACGCTGCTCTGTACGTATACATACATACTCATTTATACACCTGGAGCTACAGCTGGGCGGCGCGCTGCACGAGGCGCCGCACCACGCATGCGCCGCGCCACGCGCCGCGCCACACGTCACGCTGCTCTGTACGTATACATACATACTCATTTATACACCTGGAGCTACAGCTGGGCGGCGCGCTGCACGAGGCGCCGCACCACGCATGCGCCGCGCCACGCGCCGCGCCACACGTCACGCTGCTCTGTACGTATACATACATACTCATTTATACACCTGGAGCTACAGCTGGGCGGCGCGCTGCACGAGGCGCCGCACCACGCATGCGCCGCGCCACGCGCCGCGCCACACGTCACGCTGCTCTGTACGTATACATACATACTCATTTATACACCTGGAGCTACAGCTGGGCGGCGCGCTGCACGAGGCGCCGCACCACGCATGCGCCGCGCCACGCGCCGCGCCACACGTCACGCTGCTCTGTACGTATACATACATACTCATTTATACACCTGGAGCTACAGCTGGGCGGCGCGCTGCACGAGGCGCCGCACCACGCATGCGCCGCGCCACGCGCCGCGCCACACGTCACGCTGCTCTGTACGTATACATACATACTCATTTATACACCTGGAGCTACAGCTGGGCGGCGCGCTGCACGAGGCGCCGCACCACGCATGCGCCGCGCCACGCGCCGCGCCACACGTCACGCTGCTCTGTACGTATACATACATACTCATTTATACACCTGGAGCTACAGCTGGGCGGCGCGCTGCACGAGGCGCCGCACCACGCATGCGCCGCGCCACGCGCCGCGCCACACGTCACGCTGCTCTGTACGTATACATACATACTCATTTATACACCTGGAGCTACAGCTGGGCGGCGCGCTGCACGAGGCGCCGCACCACGCATGCGCCGCGCCACGCGCCGCGCCACACGTCACGCTGCTCTGTACGTATACATACATACTCATTTATACACCTGGAGCTACAGCTGGGCGGCGCGCTGCACGAGGCGCCGCACCACGCATGCGCCGCGCCACGCGCCGCGCCACACGTCACGCTGCTCTGTACGTATACATACATACTCATTTATACACCTGGAGCTACAGCTGGGCGGCGCGCTGCACGAGGCGCCGCACCACGCATGCGCCGCGCCACGCGCCGCGCCACACGTCACGCTGCTCTGTACGTATACATACATACTCATTTATACACCTGGAGCTACAGCTGGGCGGCGCGCTGCACGAGGCGCCGCACCACGCATGCGCCGCGCCACGCGCCGCGCCACACGTCACGCTGCTCTGTACGTATACATACATACTCATTTATACACCTGGAGCTACAGCTGGGCGGCGCGCTGCACGAGGCGCCGCACCACGCATGCGCCGCGCCACGCGCCGCGCCACACGTCACGCTGCTCTGTACGTATACATACATACTCATTTATACACCTGGAGCTACAGCTGGGCGGCGCGCTGCACGAGGCGCCGCACCACGCATGCGCCGCGCCACGCGCCGCGCCACACGTCACGCTGCTCTGTACGTATACATACATACTCATTTATACACCTGGAGCTACAGCTGGGCGGCGCGCTGCACGAGGCGCCGCACCACGCATGCGCCGCGCCACGCGCCGCGCCACACGTCACGCTGCTCTGTACGTATACATACATACTCATTTATACACCTGGAGCTACAGCTGGGCGGCGCGCTGCACGAGGCGCCGCACCACGCATGCGCCGCGCCACGCGCCGCGCCACACGTCACGCTGCTCTGTACGTATACATACATACTCATTTATACACCTGGAGCTACAGCTGGGCGGCGCGCTGCACGAGGCGCCGCACCACGCATGCGCCGCGCCACGCGCCGCGCCACACGTCACGCTGCTCTGTACGTATACATACATACTCATTTATACACCTGGAGCTACAGCTGGGCGGCGCGCTGCACGAGGCGCCGCACCACGCATGCGCCGCGCCACGCGCCGCGCCACACGTCACGCTGCTCTGTACGTATACATACATACTCATTTATACACCTGGAGCTACAGCTGGGCGGCGCGCTGCACGAGGCGCCGCACCACGCATGCGCCGCGCCACGCGCCGCGCCACACGTCACGCTGCTCTGTACGTATACATACATACTCATTTATACACCTGGAGCTACAGCTGGGCGGCGCGCTGCACGAGGCGCCGCACCACGCATGCGCCGCGCCACGCGCCGCGCCACACGTCACGCTGCTCTGTACGTATACATACATACTCATTTATACACCTGGAGCTACAGCTGGGCGGCGCGCTGCACGAGGCGCCGCACCACGCATGCGCCGCGCCACGCGCCGCGCCACACGTCACGCTGCTCTGTACGTATACATACATACTCATTTATACACCTGGAGCTACAGCTGGGCGGCGCGCTGCACGAGGCGCCGCACCACGCATGCGCCGCGCCACGCGCCGCGCCACACGTCACGCTGCTCTGTACGTATACATACATACTCATTTATACACCATCACTCCGAGGTTAAGCAGCCCGCTTCTCATGCATGAGGGTGTCAGTTCGAAACCTGGCAAGTACACCTTCACTTCTTGCGCTATTAAACTCAATAGACAAAAAAATTAAGTGTAGGAGAGCCGTGCTTCGGCACGAATGGGTCGGCTCGACCGGAGTGATACCACGGCCTCACATAAAACCGGCGTGAAACAACCACAACGTTGTGTTTCGCCGCGTGAGTGAGATTACCGGAGGCCAAATCCTTCCCCTACCCCAATCCCTTCCCAATCCCTGAATCCCCAAAATCCCAATCTCTAAAAGGTCGGCAACGCACTCGTAACTCCTATTTGTTGCGGGTGTCCATGGGCGACGCTGATTGCTTACCATCAGATAATCCGCCTGCTTGTTTGCCGTCCTATCACATAAAAAAAAATTACTGCCTTAATATTTTTTTTTCAATAATAATTCATCACTAACATATCAGAGTTTTGATCATGGCATCTCTATAGTGTAGATAAGGTTTATAGATTATAATAATAATTAATGCTCAAACCTTCTCCGTGTGAGAAGACGCCTTTGTTCAGCTGTAGGCACTTATAATTATATATTTAATTAAATATTATATAAAATGTTTCTTGGCATGGCTAAGTTTACAAAGCCTTTATTTTATAACTATTTAGCTGACTTGCGTTGTTATTTCCAGCGACCTCTCTGTACCCAATGCGTTGTCCAATGCTGGGCCGCTACACCGTGGTGGACTCGCTCGCAGACAGACGAAGGAGGCGACAGCAACTTACAATCGGTGAGTTACACTTCATATTTTATTTTATTCAGTAGTTTCCAACTAGTCAAATTCAATACTTTTATTGAAATAAAATCGCAACATATAACTGAATATTCAGTTAGAAAAAATCTAAAATCTATACTAATAATATAATATAAAGTTGAAGAGTTTGTTTGAACATGCTGATCTCCGGAATTAATTTTTACCCGCGGCTTCGCCCGCGGTGTACGTAGGTATTGGGGCTATAACCAAAAAAAAATTGTATATCCCACAGGAACCTTATGTTTTTCCGGAATAAAAAGTGGCTGTATCCTATTCTGAAAAGTATCCTACTACACAATATACCTGTGCTAAATGTCATCCAGATCCGTCCAGCCGTTTTGGCGTGATTGCGTAACAAACACTCAAACATCCAAACTTCAACTTTCACATGTATAATATTAGTATAATCATCGGCACGGATCTTGAGCGCTGACCTTCACCTGCGCAGAAGTGATTTATTGGGTCCCTTTAGTGGTATGAAGTGAGGCGCGGGGATCGCGGGGACGGGGTAAAGTGCAGTGATTGGCCCGCAGGCCATCGCGTCATAGCCGTCACTCGGGATTGGTTCTATGCTGTAGTTGCACGTACCTCACGACGCCAGTACACTTCCGGCCAATTTAATTGACACCAATTTTTAAACTGCATCGTTTTAATTATTATATTTTTTTATAAAAAAAATGTTTCATTAATGTATAAATTAAATACGAGGTCAAAAATGTTAACAAAAAAAGTACATAGGTACGTAGTAGTTTTTTTTTGTAACTTCTGTCAAACTACAAGATTAGCTTATATTTTAAATTAGAAACACTTTTGATTAACTACTTCCATCTGAATTTCCATTTCTCAATTTATTAAATCATTATAAAATCTTTCTTTCAACCATAGAGCCAGTATGAAATTACGTAGGTAACTTAAGAAAAATAAATAATAAACGGGTGTGCGTTTTATTTTGTCATAAGTGTACGATGCGCAAAGCGATCCCCACTCTTCCGCCGAGCGCTCAAGATCCCTGCCGGTATCTGTAAGATAAGATTTAACAGACATATTTATACCCCTTCCAGATGACGCGACGGGCGAGGAAGTGCAGGAGAAACCGGTGGAGTGCGTAATGGGGCAGTACGACAGCGCCAGCATCGGCTGCGGGGCCGCGCAGGACACCATCGTGTTCCAATCTGCTTGCACTAGCACCGGTATGTGACTCTGTCTGCCCATTGCTACTTAAACACGAACATTTTATGGCGACCTGAGAGTAAAGTCCCCTAAGATCGGAAAAGGAGAATCTTCCGACCCAGTTTCTTTCCTATACAACAATTAAATATACTTTTACTCCTACAATCTCCATACCTGTAAAAAAATCCTCACCGAAGCACTTCAAGACATGTCCTATGAAGACACAGAGAAGTTATTATTAGTTCCTAAATAACTGTAGTAAAGGTTTTTATTTTTTTATTTTTTTATTTATGGTTTAATTTTTATTTAATTAAACATAGATATAGAATTTAAGTATCGTTTTATCCTGTTATTTTTAATATAAATAGTAGCATTATTTCCTTAATTTAAAAACACTTATTTACTTATGATTATTTAACAATGTATTTTTTACCCATTTTCGCCTGAAACACAGGTTGTCCTAGTTCAGTGACCCAATATTATGAACTTGGTATAACTTTAAGCAAAACTGTATATTCTAGATTATGAGTTCTTCAATAAAATTTATTTTATTATTATTATTTATTTAGTTTTACCTAATGAGATGTACAAATATTGATTTTTACAATTTGGTGTTTTAATTTTTATAATAATTGAATTCCGTATGAGTACAGAGTTACAAAAACAATTCGCGCCGCGTTCCTGGAACAAAAGCTTATGTACCATATGATTATTCAGACCGTTCCCATTATCCCCTGCAATCCCCAAACCCCCAAACCCCCAAAATTTTAGCAACTCTTGTGTTACAGGTTGTCCAAACGGGTGGATCCATTTGCTTATCATCAGGTTATCTGATTGATTGTTTCCCGACCCGACCCATAAAAATATATATAACTATGTTTCTTTGTATATGTTTCAGTGTACACATGCTACGGAAGTTGGCGAGAGGGCAACTTGGGGCTGGTAGTAGCCGGGGCCGCGCGGCCCTCCTCCCGCCCTCACGCGCTCTGCTTCCTCTATACCAATTATATCGCTAACGGTAAGTTATTCTTCTTTTTTCAATTTTAAAATGCGCTTGTACTGAATTTAATGCGTCCGTTTCTTATGTAAGAGGGTGCGGGGTCTAAACTTGACAAACGCGATACCAATATGACTTTGTGTAGGAAAAATTTATTTGTAGTTTGTACCTCCTTTCTAAAAGCAATTTAATCAAACCCAGTATGGCTTCTTCCAAGTTATAAGTACTTTTTAAGAATATTCAAACAAAACCAATGTGACTTTTTCCGAGTCAAGTGTAGGTACTTTCTAGGACATTTTCCTTATAAAATGATTTAAAAAATAGAAAATTTGTTCCGATAAACTCAAAACTATAGACCATACAAGTTGAATTAACAAAAAACGCATAATAATGTGTATATTTGGAATTGTCCCGTTCCTCTAAGTAATAATAATAATAATAAATCCGCAAGGCAGCTTGTGGCGAGCTGTTGGGCAGTGGCGACCCCACGGACCTGACTCCCGGGAGGTGTCTTGTTCTTCTCTCTCCGGTTAGTCCTCGTGACGAGCTGGAGTGAACACTGATGAGGAACAAGCCCTCTCACCTCATTCTTGCCTTAACTGGCTGGCTTGAGTGGAGATTCGCAAGAGTAGGAGTTGAAGGAGACTCGGGGGAAGGATGTATCTCAGTAAAATGCTGGTAGGGGTCTTGACCGTACTTCCGGGATTGCTCTGATAGCCGTGGGATGCCTCTCCTTCCCCAAGCAGCTCAACGTATGTTGCCCCCGTGTCGCTACATGCTAGCGGCCGTTTCCGGGGGCCCATTAATTGAGTTTGCCAGTCACCCCCTGCCTGTTTATCCGTATGTATCAATATTGGTCAGGGGCAGGGGCCATAGTATTTCCATAGTTTTAATCCACTAGTCCATAGCAACCCATACTCATAACCTTAAAATTTTTTACCACATTTCGCAATAGTCCTCCATCAACCGGGGATTGTCCTTGGGTGCACTTTCATAGTGCATACAGGGATAACTGCCGGCTGATGTCCCATTTCACTTATATTAAAGTTGTTCAAAGGGCCTCTGCGAGTTGGCTTCGGCCCCTCGTACGCCTTCCAAAAGTCCGGGACCCTGTGGTCCCGTGAGTGGAAAGGAACATACAAAATAATAATAATAATATGTATTACTGATTATGGTCGCATGTCTGTCTACAGATTCGTCGGGTACAGCAGTCCAGTACCTGTCCCTGTCGGGAGTGTCCCGGTCCTGTGACCGCGCCGTGCTGCCCGGCCTCGCGGGGGATAAGGCCTACAACTTGACGCTTAATGGTAAATTACATTCCGACCTCTCTACTGTTACTGTTACACTCCTAGCATATTAAGTCAAAATTAAATTACGAAATTTAAGCTAGATTGTAATTTTTACGATAAGCCGTATGACAAAAGAAGTGTTATAGACCAGCAAACGAGCTGACGGACGGACGGACAGAACTACGGACGGACGAAAATAATTAATTTGATATTAATTTAATCACGCGCCTTCACGGCCGTCTCCGTCTCCTGCCTGCCACACGTCTTCTTGTGAACTTTTTTTTGTGTGATTTATGGTCGGCAAACGAGCAGACGAGGATTACCTGATGGTAAGCAATCAGCGCCGCCGATAAACACCCGCAACAATAGAGGAGTTGCGAGTGCGTTGCCGTCCTCATGGGGATTAGGAATTTAGGGAATAGAGATTTAGGCATTGTGGAGGAATTGTAGGAGGGAAAGGATTGGGTATCCGGTAGCCTCACTTACAGGGCGAAACACAACGCTGTGGTTGTTTCACGCCGGTTTTCTCTGAGGCCGTGGTATCACTCCGGTCGAGTCGAATTTTATTTTGAAAAGTGTTATAAAATCTTAGGATGTTATGAGATTTGTACCTACCCTAAATAAAATGACCATCCTTGCATCCACAGGTACATGTGAACAGAGTAGCAAGTACAACAGTCTAGCAATGAGACTGTGCCCAGCGTTAGCAGTGCTGCTGATACCCCTCGCGTTACTAGCGCGGTGATACGCCGCCAACCGCTGAGGCGCGACGGGGCTCCCACTACAAAGGGTCTGAAATGTTTTTAAAAGCTTTCTCTACTGAAGTCCCTTATACATAAATATAGAATAACACATTACTTTGCAGAAATCCATTCCAATTAATAATAATTAAGGAAAATATTTAGATTTTTATTCTAAAGAAAGGAAGAAAGAAAATTAATAAGTTGCTATTCCAAGTATTATGTAAAAAAAATACTAAAAATAATAGAAACTTGGTATAAAATTGAAATCGGTTTCACACGCCACTTTAGGCTATAGACGATAAACAAATACTGGACTATGTCGCCATTACAATCTACAGCTTGCAAAAAAACATAATTTGTTTAAAACTGTTTGTTTGTCATTAATAACCAATCGTGGTGCTCAAAAGATGAATCTTAATTTTCATTCACAATTCGTAACATGTTAAGCACGTTATAAATTTTTGTAACCATTCTAAAAAAAGGATTGTAATATTTATTTCATACATATTTAGGCTAAAAAAACTCTGAGTGTGCCATGCGTCACAACACGGTAATCTATTTCCAATATTAATATCAAAAATTATCCATAATGCAAAGATCGCGAAGAAAATAGGCGCCTTTATTTTAAAGGGTGGGTACTGTGTATTTTAACACTTAATTGTGTTGTTTTGTCTAGAAAGAACCAGTGTTTTTCGCTACTATTTTTACTCGAATTAAGAATTGAACTTGATACAAATTTATGCACAAGATCAGCAGTATATATTCAGCATATCAATCCCAGTATTTATTATTTTTAAAATATCAATGCATGATATTTTTGAGATTTTTTTATTATATTTTGAGATTTTATATTATATTTTGACTTTTAGTTTAGTCAAAAATACATGTAATCAGCTTTTAAATGTAATAAAATATTGTTTTTATAATAACTATCGTGAGACATACTAAATTAACTAAAAATCGCGGGTTAATCACGTGTATAAATTGAGAAAAGCTCTACTAGTTTCAAACCACAGAGGGGTTCTTCCTCATGAGCAACGTGCGCGGACGCGGCGACGTCGCGCAGCCTACTGATTTAACCATTTGTGAAAATGGAATAAATTGCCCTTTTGAATTTCAAATAAAGTGTTTAAAATTTAAGTCCGACGTTTCTAAAACCTCCGTAATCTCGACACTAGCAGTATAGTCGACAACATTGAATTGGTGACACAGTTGCCATAAAAAAAATATTTATAGGAAAAATGTCAGTCAGTCGGTCAGTCCTCTAGTGAAGCTATTTGCTGTCTATATCCCAGAGTTAAAAAAACAACTTCAATTCTTAATTAGGGTAAAAGTTAATACTTTTTTTTATTATTTATAACAACCAGTGTATTGTTATTGATTAGCCCTAACATCATTAGGTTAAAATCAATTTGACTTAAAAATATCCAGTACTTATCCATTCAAATAGAAAAAAGCGAATCTACATTAATATACCTTGAAAACAGTGATTTCTCAATTCAAACCTAGATTTTTTTTCAACACATTTCAAAGATAAAATCTACTAACTATTTGGGACTTCGGTAGAAAATGAAACTTTATGATTATTCTATTTGTAATTTCTTTAATTATTGAAGTACATTCGTACCTTGCATTTGTATAGAAAAATTGCTTTTAGTATCATGAAAAATACTGAAGAAATCAATGAAACAGAGCTCCTTTAAACCCAGTGGTCACAAAACCCAGATACAGATTTTACAAAAAATGAAAAAGGATTGATTTCTATTAAAAATTTTTCTATTAAAAATGTTTGGAAAATAGTTTAATTATCCTACCATACCTACGATTCCGTCACCCTCGGCAGCTTAGTAGAAATTTAATTTATAACAACGGCAACACTGATGATTAACTGTCAAAAGTGTAAAAATGTTGCCATTTTCGAGTGGGATATTATTTTTGGTAGCTTTCTTTGCATATTTTTTGTTGTCTTTTTCTTTATTTTGTATGTGGGAACTCTGTATAGTAATTTGATCGTGTGCTATATTAATTAAGTAAGGAAGGAACGAAACAATGTTTTTTTGAAACGAAGCAACGTGATTGTATTGTATATATATTATTAAAAAATGATATAAATTTGAATAAACAAATGATATGACGATTTTTAAAATAAATAAATAAATGTTACTTATCTAATTTAATTATTGTATAATGGTACGTTTTTAGAGTGGTCACAAGAAAATTATTGAGTTTGCAAAAAATGGCTGTCTTTTTGGTCTAGTGCGACCAGGCCATATTTTGGGTCAGGCAGTAAATTTAGAAAATTCTTGTAATTTTCTTATGACATAACTCTAAATGCGTGCAAATATTTTTATTTTTTAAACATACTTAGGTAGTATATTAATGTGGTCGTGGTCATATTTGAAACATTCCTCCAACATACCGACGATTTGTCGCTGCAATTAGTCGCACGATTAGTCTTAGTTTAAATTAAATAGAGCTGTTTTGAAAGCTGTTCTAGACTCGCTGAAGTAGCAAGCATGCGACAAATCGCTGCGATTTTTCTTGTGAATCAAGTTTAATCTGCTTACAGCATATTCGGCGTAGTTATTCGGCAGCTACTTTTAAAAAGATTGCTCAAAAATCGCGCGACAAAATTGTCGGGTTTGCGATTTTTTTCAAATATGGCGACGACTTTTACTGTACAATATAATAAATATATAGAAAAGAACGCTTTCAAAGTATACACTGTATGCAAATTATACATAACGTAAATATGTAGCTGAGGCCCACTGCTGGAGATTTACTTTAAAAATCAATTATATTATTTTAGTTTTTCAATCACAAACACACTTTATTTATAGGTAAGTTTAAAACAGTAGGTACCTATAATATGTTTATAGTTCCTACTACATCAATGTTTTTGGGAATTGTCACATATTTACAAAATAAAATTCTTTTTAATGATAGCTAAACTTGGCTCCTTTAATCCAGCCGTGGGCTTCAGCTAAAAATATACAGAAAATATAATTATAAGACTAATTTAGATAGAACTAAATGTAGATAAAAACTATGCTCAGCCGATTTTTTGATTAGTTTTCGAAATACGTCCAAGTTTTTTCAAAAAATATTTATACATGTATGTTTCTTTTGTCATTTTTTGTGATTTTTTCGTAACTATTGCAGCTAACGTACGAAATGGGAACTTTTACTAGTCAATTTTTTGATATAAACTAAATCGCCAGACAAATTATATGGAATTAATTTTCGTATAAGTTTTTTATAATGTTTTATTTAAAATATTCAACTGAGCGTTATAGCTTGAATTATTTTTGACTATAATCATAAAACTTTGAGTTCTGTCTATCCGTAAAGCTATTTAACAATAATGTTTTGTTTTTAATAATAGAAAAGCAACGAAAGTTTTAAAAAAAATATTAGTACTCGGTACCCAACAAAAACATGTCTAATTATAATAAAAAAGTTCGTATTTCGTACTAAATCTTTAGATATAACTTACAACATTAATTTATTACCTATTTGTAATAAAAAATAGATATTGAACGAAATATTTTATATAAGTTATAATTTTTTTCCTTTTTCGGGGTCAAAAATTGAGAAAATTGTGTCAGTTTTCATTAAAGTCGTCAGGTATTTGGCGTAAAGTTTTTCAACTCAAAACGGGTTTAAAAAAACTCTTTATTTTCTTTTTCAAAGAATAAAAGTCAAGTCATATGTACTTTTTAATATCATCAAAAAAATTAATGAATCCATTATTTAAATTAAGCAAATATGTGCATGGTCAGTAACGCACTCCAAGACAAGATTATGATGTCTGCTTACTTACTAAGTGTGGGAGAACCATGCTTCGGCTCGACAGGAGTAATACCACTGGCTCACAAATAACCGGCGTGAAACAACGTTGTATTACTCCATGTGAGCGAGGTTACTGTAGGTCCCAACCCTTCAATATCCGAAACTCCAATTACCAACAGGCCGGCAAAGCACCTGTAACTCCTTTAGTGTTAGTGTTGCGGGTCTCTATTGCGGGCGCTGATTCCTTACCATCAGGTAATCCGTCTGCTCGATTGCCGACCTATCTCATAAAAAAGGTTTGTAACCAGTCTAAAATAAAGGTTTTCATCAAAAAAGACCCCAATTCAAATATAATTTCCTGTAGGTATTCTCTGTTTCCTTCTAGCTTTTGATGCAAAACGAATCAATAATGACCAACAGTAGATATATAAATTATACATTTGCTCATAAATAACATACATAGTTGTTTTTTATTTTAGTATGTGATAAATTGTAACTTATAAGTAAACCTTTACACACGGCGAAACTTATCTACAAAAACTATAAAAAATGTATAACACAAGACTCTTATGTAACTGACTAAAAAGGTATAAAAAAATCACTGCGACTGATTTAGTCGAATTTTAGTCGCAAGTTTCGCCCGTGTGCAAAGCGTCAAAACATTGTAAATATTATCAAGTTCCTGTAAGCTTTTAGTTCAACTCAAATTTATTGTTTGTGATAATATTCTGATTCAGAATGTCTATGCTTGCCTAAACTTTGATTTAAAAAAGACATAATATTATGTAGCCCATGAGACTTTATGTACATAATTAGCTGGATAATTTATTTGCTATTTGCGATTGAGTCGCGATGTTTTATAAATTATATTTATAATTTTAGCATCATATCTTTGTTCCACCAGTGATAGATAAAATTATCTATTTAGAAAAATATTTCCCAATGCCAATGCGACTAAAATGTCGCGCTCAGTCGCAAGTGCAGCAGCATTTTTGAAACTACAGGACGAAAGTATTATTTTATAAAAATAACCGGAGATAATAATAGTTATTAAATAATTGATATTGAAGAAAAATAATTATTATAAATAAACGACGAAGGAAAAGTTTCATACAATCATTTTTATCGAAAAAAAAAGTTTTTTTAATTAAAAAAAACGTGTTTAAAATGCACTAAAATGTTAAAAAATTAAAATCACTTAGTATCGTAAGGGCTTTTTGTTTTTAATTTATTGTATTTAAATTAAAATTTGTGTAAGGCGGGAGAATTCCACATTGTGAATATTCGCACTTGAAATCTTATGTAAAAAAAATGTAATACTCTATTGGAAATGTACTTTCGCGTGTAAATAATTTCTTTTTTCAGCTGAAAAATTTTTGTGATA